ATCTAATAAACGGTCAGCATCTTACTAGTCTAGAAATGCAGGAAACATTCAGTTTAGTCATCGCCAAAAAATGAAATAACAATGGCCGAAACCTACTGCAAACTATTCGAAACACGGGACTGACTGAGAATGTTGGAGACGACACTAGGTGGGGCCCTAGTGGAAAGTCATCAAAACTAGATTATATTCTAAATAGTGACCAATTACTCGTCGAAGAAGTCTAGATCACGACTCCTCTGGGAAGTAGTGACCATGCAGTCAAAGGTTTCGATCTTGTTCTCCGTGAGCGTTTGCAGTGGGATGTTACGCGACCATGTCTGTGCTACAGCAAGGCTGACTATGCTGAAATGCGGAGGCTCTTGCCCGACGCAGACTGGCCCTTAGCATGGGACGACCTATCTGTGGATGAACACTGGGAAGTGGTAAAAAATATTATCCATATAGCAATCTCAGATACCGTCCCTTTAGTCACAACACAGCCAAAGAGAAAGACGTCATGGTTGAAGAGAGGCACCCAACGTATTCTGCAAGCAAAGCGGAAGGTTTGGTTTACGTGGCGTGTATCTAAGAGTCAGACCGACCACGATGCATACCTCGAACTCAGGAACCGGTGTAATGCAAGAGTCCGGAGGGACAGGAGGTCATTCCAGGCTAACCTTGCTACAAAACTCCTAGCAAACCCCAAAAATTTGTACTGATTCATGTCGGGAAGAAAACCGACAAATCAAGGGCATGCGCCTTAGTAGGTCAATATCCCACTAGTCTGGAGATGGCTGAAACATTCAGTTCAGCCTTCGCCAAACAGCTAAACAGCAATGTGGATATTACAATTACGGATTAAAATGCTGGCACCACTATTTCAAAGGAAGAAGACCTAGCGGCTACTCCCCAAATAAACCCCGCAACAGTACTAAGGAAGCTACAGCGACTCACACCTGGGAAGTCTTCAGGTTGTGACGACATCAAGCCATCTGTTCTGAAACAGTGCGCCGAAGCTCTCTACAGGCCCTCATGAGACTTACTACAACACTCGATGGATTCGGGGAAACTACCGAGGGAGTGGAAAAGAGCCATCCTTTCTACGATCTTCAAGGGTCGGGATAGGCAAAATGCCACTAGTTATAGACCAGTAGCTCTACTCCCAGTGGTATCAAAAGTACTGGAAAGTATTTTTGACGATCACATCAGGGAATATTTCGATAGGACTAATATACTACATGAAGCCCAACATGGTTTCAGAAAAGGCAGATCCTGCGTCACTAACCTACTGTCAGCTTGGGACGACTGGACATCATGCTGGGACTTGAACGTACCAGTCCATGTGGTCTTCCTAGACTTTGAGAAGGCATTTGACACTGTTCACCATGACCTTCTCCTACATAAAATAAGCCAGGCAGGCACAGGTGAGCCACTTCTCTCGTGGTTCAAGGACCACATAGCCGACAGGCAATTTTGAACCAAGGTAAAACGAGACCGATCATCTTGAGGCAGATTGTCCTCAGGAGAGTCGCAGGGTCCTATCCAAAGAAAACTGATGATCTTGATATTTGTCAATTAACTAACACGACGCCTGAGCTGCCGGCATCAAATATAGGCTGACAACCTAAACACATGAAGGGCGAAAAAGTGTCCGGGGACTCAGATAGGCTACAGGAAGATCTAGAACTTCCGGAAGACTAGGCAGTGGTCAGTGGCATGAATTTCAATCTGAAAAAGTGCAAAGTAGGGAAGTCGCGCACCTGTAGACTGCAGAATGCAAGTTACACCCTGTGCAATGAAAGCTTCTCCTGCACAACGTCGGAACGCGACTTAGGTCTAGTTCTAACGGAAAAAATGGACACAAGCGTGGATTACACAGGGGATGTAGCGAGGGCATATGCGGTCATGCACTTTACACATAGACAGTTAGGTGCACTCACTCCTGAGCTCTTTCTAATGTTGTACAAAACATACGTCAGGCCACACCTTGAGGTGCATAATATTATTGCACCCCCAATGCTGAGAAGAGACGCCAACATCTTAGAAAGAGTCCATAGACGGGAGACAAAAAGAGTGGTTGGTCTTCGAAACAAACCATATGATGAAAGGCTGAAGAAATTAGGCCTGTTTACACTTAGCTACCGTCGGCTTAGGGGGGTTTGATTACTGCCTACAAAATAACAAGTGATCAGAATCACCCAAACAAGGGTGTTCTGCCATTGAGTAGGTATAGGCTCCCACGAGGAAATCCCAGAAGGATAGCTCGCCAAAGGGCAAGGACCTGGGTGCGCTCCCACTTCTTTTCACTGCGGGTTTGCCGTCCCTGGAATTCCTTACCAGCAGATGTGGCTATGGCACCGTCTGTGGACGCCCTTAAGCGAAAGCTGGACAACCATGCAGTGACACAAGGACTGAACCCAAATGACCTATTTTTTAAAATCTCATACACCATTCAGGGGTAGACAATTAAACTCGTCGTTTTACTTCTTTACATTCTCTCCCGTCTTACTCTCCTGACAACTTATTAATATTATAATTATTATTACTATTTTTATTATTATTACCGATATATATATATATATATATATTATTATTCAAACTTAATGAGCTGACTGTTGTTACGCTTTCCTATTTCCGTTTCTGTCTCTTAGTCTGAATAACTTCACTAATTATATCTATTATTATTATTATTATTACTATCTCCTTTCTCTTGTCGACGATACCGAAGGACTAGCTGGCGAAAGGGTCAACTCCAATCACAGTAGTAAGAGTCTTAACATACCTCATACTACAAACCACATATAATTAATCACAGCACTACTCCCTTAGGAGTCAACCAAAGCTAGGACAGTCGAGTGGCGTGACAAGCTACGCAGAAGTTTACCGAAGATCAGGAACATATACCTTACAATCAAGAAGCGAGCACAAAGAAATCAAATTGGTTTATACTAGCTCGTAAAAACCATATTGGATATTGGAATGTGGGTATTACCGGTACCGACACTATTATTTCACTGGAGGAAGACCTAGCGGCTACTCCCCAAATAAACCCCGCAACAGTACTAAGGAAGCTACAGCGACTCACACCTGGGAAGTCTTCAGGTTGTGACGACATCAAGCCATCTGTTCTGAAACAGTGCGCCGAAGCTCTCTACAGGCCCTCGTGAGACTTACTACAACACTCGATGGATTCGGGGAAACTACCGAGGGAGTGGAAAAGAGCCATCCTTTCTACGATCTTCAAGGGTCGGGATAGGCAAAATGCCACTAGTTATAGACCAGTAGCTCTACTCCCAGTGGTATCAAAAGTACTGGAAAGTATTTTTGACGATCACATCAGAACCACTGGTGTTTCGGACTATTTTAACGATCTACTATGCCATCTAAGCTGCCCGAATCTCCTATAGGGTGACGGCGTAAAGATATAATAATATGGAGGACGACAGTGTTCAGAGGACTCAGATAGGCTACAGGAAGATCTAGAACTTCCGGAAGACTAGGCAGTGGTCAGTGGCATGAATTTCAATCTGAAAAAGTGCAAAGTAGGGAAGTCGCGCACCTGTAGACTGCAGAATGCAAGTTACACCCTGTGCAATGAAAGCTTCTCCTGCACAACGTCGGAACGCGACTTAGGTCTAGTTCTAACGGAAAAAATGGACACAAGCGTGGATTACACAGGGGATGTAGCGAGGGCATATGCGGTCATGCACTTTACACATAGACAGTTAGGTGCACTCACTCCTGAGCTCTTTCTAATGTTGTACAAAACATACGTCAGGCCACACCTTGAGGTGCATAATATTATTGCACCCCCAATGCTGAGAAGAGACGCCAACATCTTAGAAAGAGTCCATAGACGGGAGACAAAAAGAGTGGTTTGTCCCGAATTAAAACATGAAAATTTTTTATTACCGCCTACATAATTACAAACGAATTGGATCGGGTAATCGATGGTTTTCTGGCACTGAGTTTTTATAGGGTTCCTCGTGGAAATCCTAGAAGTTTTGTACACCACAGTGCAAGTACCTGAGTGCGCTCCCACTTCTTTTCACTGCGGGTTCGCCGTTCTGGAATTCCTTGTCGGCATATTTATTGTCGCACCGTCTTTGGACGTCTCTGAGTAAAGCTTGACCAATCATGCAGCGACATAAGGGCTGCGTCCAAATGGCATATCCCCTTTAAATCCCATACACCATTCAGGAGTGGACAGCAAAGTGCGTCGTTTTAATTAATTACATTCTCTCCCGTCCTGGGCCCCTGAAAACTTTATATACACTTATTGTTATTGCTAACGATATATATATATATATATACATATGCATTAAATTCAAAGTTAATCAACTGTTTGTTTATACGTTCACTTTATTTATTATTCTGTATGTAAGTTTGTAGCGGTAAATGAGTCCCCAAAATTATTAACCACAGCACTCATCTTTGAATATTGGATGCTGACCCTTACTGTTTAAGTCGAGTTGTTTAGCTGGAGGCTTCCGGTCAAGCATCCACGCCATTTAGTACTCCGTCGTGTCAGCTGAGCAATCATCTCGCACTCCTATTTGTTCTCGAAATATATCTCGTAATTTGGGCAACCAAATATTGTCTTTCGCTTTGCCTCATAACAGTCCCCTACACGCGTAATGAATACTATGGATGTTGTGGTTATGAGATCTTGCGTTAGTGTACTTCGTACTATACCCGAACGTCAATACCGTCAACCTCTAAAATTCTGAATAATTTCTCAATTAAATCCAGTATTATTTTTTATCGCTTATGCGATGCCATAGGACTGGCTGGTGAAGGGGCTAACTCGGTTGATCGTGGGAACAGTCTTAATACCCCATACTACAAACCACATAAAATTAATCCTAGTACTACTCTTTTTTAAGTCATCCAATGCTACGACAGTCGATTGGCGGGAGGAGCTACGCAGAACATATCCCTCAAAATTAAGAATCGAGAACAGAGAAATCAAATCGTTTTATACTAGCTCGTAAAAATGATATTGGATATTTCATCGATGGGTCGCAATAGTTAGAGCGCGCAATTAGCATAATACGTTACCAAAAATCTCGAGGTTTCTGTAAGACTGTTTAAGAATCTGTCGATGGTAGTTTCATGATTGCTATCGTCTTTTGAGGTGTGTGTCACGTCACAATTTAAAATGTTTATAAATTTCTTCTCCAGAAATATAAAATATATGCATATATGTGTATAGTAAACACAATCCAATTTAGGAGAATTCTTAATTTGCTGTCGTTCCCTACTGTTACACCACAGGTAAATGCGAAGTGTCATAGAGTCAGTAGGTTGCAGAAACTCTTTTGCAATGCTCAACACGTGTTATGGGCCGTTTGAATGGCCGTATACGGCCACTATACACCATAGTGTATACAGTAACAATGTTGACATGCAGAATTGAAGAAATATACACGAGAAATATGATTCTAGTGAGAACGAAAAAGTAGAGTAATATGCTTAAATAATTTTTACTAGGGTTGATTTCCTTATAACGACAGTTAGCGTCATGTGGAGTTCGTGTAATCAGCAACCTATAAATCTGCACATTTGTAGCAGTTTTAGCCAGAACATTTCAGTGAGGCACGGAAACTAGTTGAAATTCCGAGATGAAAATGTATCACGGAAACAAAAGTCATGTACAGACTAGTAACGATTTTCAGAAGCTGAATCATACAAAGCACGAGTACGTATGTCTTCTGGTGGATTGCAGGATAACCCTCCACTTAGAAGGACCACAGTTGCAAAATACAGTGCGTCAGTGTGGTTTTACTGCTTGTGTTAGTGTAATTTTCTGAGCACCGTTAAATGTTAACATGCAAAGTATTTCAGACCAATTTTCGCCCCCGAATTTCGTCTCTATTTGTAATCATTTCAAATTGATTTTAGTATCCTCATAGATAATTCATAAGAAAAGTAATTGTAGTGGACATTTTCCCCCAGTGACTATTTTAGTTACCGCACTTGGATCTCTTAGATTCAGATCATTAGGATAGAAGGCTCTTGTTGCCTATGTTAATACTTGCGATATGTATCTCTGCAGAGTTCTAACCTCTTTGAAAACAAAACAAGATTTTGAGCGAACAATTGTTTTCGATAACTTCTTCTTCTTCAGGCTCTACAGTTATAAATCCATGAATAATAGAGTACATATAGCCAATAAAGGCAAATGAAAATAATATCAGAAACTGTATTGGGGTGCATGTGTAAGTTGAGGTGATAGTCCATTAGTTAGCATAGTCAATTAAATGTGTATAGGGTGAAAGCGTTGACTGATAGAGCTGATACTACTGAAGGTACAGTCGGTGACCACTCTGTGAGAGAATCTAAATTCTGGACGTATTTTAGTCATCCTCGGTTTGAGCACTTTCTTGTGGTGACCTCATAAATGTATCCTAAAGAACGAGAAAAGGTTTGAAAGGTCAATCCTTAAATCTCTCTTTAATATACGGTAGGCTAAAATTAAGTCGCCTATCCTGCTTCGGTATGATAATGGGAAGAGACTTAAATACTCCATCGTCTTATCGTAAGGAAGTTGTGAGATACCACTAACTAATTTAGCTCCTATCCGCTCTACTGTTTCCAGGATATGTGCCTCTTTTTTGAAGCATGGACTCAATGCTTGTGTGTAGTATTCTAGATGAGGTCTGGTGAATGTAGAATGGAGTACTTGGGACACACACTCGTCTAATCGTTTGAAAGCCCTTCGAAGTGCCCGTAGCATTTGAGAAGCCTTAGCTGCGGCTCCGTTAGAATTCGCCGTTGTTTTTAAGTCTTGGCTTACAATAATTCTTAAGTCCTTTTGTCCCTAACATCTGGCAGTTCTCTGTCCCCTAGAGAGTACAACGTGCAAGACATCTGACCTAGGTGTATTTCCGTGCTTTTCTCGAATTTAATTTCTAGACTCCACAGAGTAGCTTATTCACCTGATTTATCTAGATCGTTTTGTAGTACCAACCTATCATCGTTATTATTTACGGTTTCCCACATCTGAATATTGTCGGCAAATAATAAGGAAGATGAGGCGATAATTTTCGGCAGTTCATTTACATATAATAGGAATAATGGGGCCAAGTTGTATACAACAGGCACTGAATGCTGATTAATACTGTATGTTGCGTTATAGGATGGAGTACTAGTCACTTATTTTTCATTATTGTTTGAATTGATATAATATGCTTACCTAGTGTAAGTTAGAAAAAAATACATCATTCAATTATTTATCCTCTATCAGATTCTTGTATACTTCTAAATGATAACTAAAACTCACAATCTACCATTGCATCTTGTAATACATTAGTGTCAGGTATAGCTTGAAATTGCATTCACTCTCTGTTATATATTAATATGGAAGGATTTGCATTTGTAAGGCCTGAACAAGTGGTTATTAAAAGCAGTTGTTCACTGCAATTATTTTTACCGTAAAACATTCTACTTTCTGTTTCTGAATATTTTCGTTTAGATAACATTCACTGCCGTATCAGCGTTGCTGTTCTGTTGGTTCATCTCTCTGTAGTAGCTCTTACTTTTTTCAATGGTGTCAAGTAGTCGCTCAATAGCAGTATGGTGTTTTCATTCCTTTATTTATTCTGAGAAATGTTGGTTAAGTATCATTTCTAAGTGATTAGTCCCAGTTATAATTAGGCTAGTGATAGGAATTTATTTATTCAAATGTCAAGGAAGATGTGATGAATAAAACACGCAACGTCAGTTAAGTAGGAGGTATGTTTTTAATAAGGGATGGCGTAGTTCAACTACCAGAGGAAATCTTATAGGGTTGCTCTTCTCCAACCATAGAACCTCAGTCTGTTTTTAGTGGTCAGCGTACTTTTCATTTGAATCAGTATGAATTTTCTTTATATGTGCACATCATGTAGTGAAGTCGTACTTAAATTGCTGAGATTTATTTGTATCTAGATACGACAGCTGCACAGTAGCATATACATATACATAATACAGGAACTGCCGTGGAGGTAGCTATGTCTCCTGTACTCAGTATTTATCCAAACGAATAATCGAACACTTGCCACCGTGGTTTTACAGTGGAAAAGAAAGCCCCCTTCCTGTGGCTCTGTTTTAGAACATCTTGCATATTTTAAACACTGAGGGGACCCGCGATCCAAGTGCAAAGTACGCAGTAATCTTGTTGATGCCATACAAATCTAATCTCAAGCTGCATTAGACGTAGAAATCCATGCATGAAGTCCTGAACTCTGCATGCAGAAGTTGGTTCATTCGTTGAATTTACAATAGACCTATTTTGTGCGGACATTTGACCCATTATTTCCTTTTCCACTATTTCACTCCACTCCATATGAAACTGAACCTGACTTACTCTGCTCAATTCTGTCGATTATATCACGCCATACAGTGCAGTGTTTTAGTGTCTACCTGAGTAATATTTAAGTGTTATATAGTTTTCTTTGGGATCTCTAAAACGCAAACGAAACTTTTAATGACACATCGTTGGAAACACTCTTTTTGTTTCTTTGACAATGTAATATATATGCAGTTGTACATCTTAAGAATGATAATACCTTTTCGTGTTAGAGTTTTAGACTACTTGCAGTTTTTAAGTAGTACGGATAATTGTTGATGTATCCTTATTGCCATGTCTAGATAATTTACCAAATATCTGCTCCAACTGTACATTATTCCACAAACTGTAGGTTGACTCAGTATGTAACTCGCTAAAAGAATGATTCGGTATTGACTCGCTGCTTTTCGTATATATGTAATTTGTGCAATAGTCATTTTTAAGTCGGGATAAGAACGTGGTGTTGTGAATAATTGTTTCCTTAGTACTATAGTTCCAATGGAATGATGGAACTTGAGGTTTTGTAGACACATTTCAACCAAAATTGATGAAGGTAAAATATCTGGTGGTTAAAACGTTATAATGAAATGTTGTTAGACATCATTAATTGCAATCATAAGACGAAAAACGTATTTGGAGAGGTACTTTTTGAACTAAATTTCAAAAACTGGGAATCACTAGGATGCAATATTTTGTGTTCAGTTGCTCTAGCTGCGTAGAGGGTTTGTCGACAAATGATTATCATTATCAGTTTCTCTGCTTGCGTCCCGAACAGAACAGAAGACTTCGTTGGCACATCTCCACTATACTGTATCCCACGATAGCCCGAAGGTTTCATGTTCCCAAATGATCTGTATGTCACTTTTGGACGTTCAACCCGTCTGTTTGTATCCAGGTTCCACCTGGGGAACTGGTATGTGATGTCATTCATTGGTCTCCTTAGCGTATGTCCAATGTGTCTGCATTTTCTTTTGCATATTTGTGTAGCAATAGGTCCTCTGTTTGGTTCGTTGCTAGGATTTCTTGTTACTTATCCTTTCTGACTGACCATCTGATCTTCATTGTCCAACCAGAGAAGGCAGCTGTTGATAAAATTCTGATCCTAGAAATGATTGTTGATGCCTGCCCCAAGTCTCATAAGTAAACAGAAACACTGAATCGACATTAATGTTCAAAGTTCGAAGCTTGTTCTTTATGTTGAGGGTTGTAGATTTTCACACTGGTTTCGGAGTAATATAGGTTTGTCTTGCTCTTCCAGTCCTACCTTTGAAATCCTTATTCACACTGCCTGGAATTGAAACCATACTTCCCTTAGGTTTCTGCCGTTGGTAGTTATTGGTTTTTGTTGTTGTTGTTGTTGTTGGTTAGGTGTCTCCATCTGCTCTCTTTTTTCTCTATGCTCACCTGAGGTTCTGTCTTCGTTGCCTCTCTTGTTGACTTGTTAGCTTTCTTCCAAAAATCCTGAAGTTTGTGTTACGCGAGACACCAATTATTTGCAAAATCCAGATATTCTAGAGGTTGTTTTTGTCAGTCCTTCGTATACCTGTCTTCTTGCTTCTCCCAGTCTGTCGCATGATTCAGTCCACCAGAATCAGGAATATCATCGGTGATAGTACGCAGCCTTGTCTTACTACTGTTTTCACTTCAAAAGTATTTTATCAATTCTCTGTTGTGTCCTTAGGGCATCATTATTTCTAATGGATTATATTCAGCTACGCGCCAACTCTTCAGAGTTGACTATATTTCTACTCTAAATTAAATTGTTAAAACATGCATCTTGAACCAGTGGTCAACTTCTGTTTTGATGTTGGTTTTTTAATTATGATTGCGCTTGACGTGATGTAGTTGCTGTTTTGACTAAAACGTTACACCAATTGGTAAACGCATACATAGTTTAATTGTATAGGATATGAAACTAGGAATTCACAAAAAGTTTGAAGTCTTCGATCCAGGACGGTGAGTATATTGGTTCATTTCATTATAATACTAGTTTAGCGCATATGCAAACCCAAACAAGATTTTGCCGTGTTTTTGTAACATGGCTCAATATTGTTCACATTGAAGTTCGTGTATTCACTCATTGTCATTTTTTTGAATTCTGAAAGGATTGAGCAATCCTGTTTTGATTATTGTATTTGTCACATTTAAGTTTTTCTGTTGTAATATCATTACGTATGAGTTTCTTTGTTTTATGTGGCAACTTAAACTAATGCACATCTGTGCGAAGTCCTACGTTTATGTTTCAGTGGGTCTTTATCATTATTTATTTTCTAATTTCCTACATGCCATTAGTTAATACCTACTTGTGCATTTACTCTGTGGAGTCTAATTTGATTGGGTATTTTTTTGCGATGTGTAAGGTCGGACTGTGGCATTATTTACAAGCCCTCTACTATCTGTTTGTATTTTTTGGCGTTTCTTACTATCCTGCTGATGACTTACAACATATTGCTTGGAATAATGACAAATTCTATTTCAGGATGAGGATCGTAATTCTATGATATTCTCCAAGGATCAATATTTGTTTGTGGATGTTTTCATCAACTGGCCTGCTGACATCCTCAACACTGATTTCATTGTAAAGATTAGAAGTCAGCTATCCAGTAACAAGGCTAGGAGAAAAACCCACACATAAAATTGAAACTTTTTTATAGTGTTTGTCATTTTGCGTAATTCACACAGCTAATAATATGATACGTTGCTGTCTCGTTCATTTTTCATTTCATATTTTCATTATAGATCAAGCTTCATAATGCTTTCTTCTACGTTTATGCCTATGAAAATCATTCCGTTGAATTTAATCCGCCGGTAAGATGAGCCAATTACGTAGTACTTATAAAAACAGGTGCCGAAGTTATGGTATCAAACCAAGGAATTTTGATCCTCCCTATTTGGTAAATACATTTCCAGTAACATGTATGCTCAAGTTTATTAGTCTGTTAAACCACCTATTCATGTGTATCAAGGAGTACAATTTGATATAAGCGGGCATGATTATGCACAGTTAGAAAAATTCACATCGTATATACACAAGTTTTTCAATAATCATGGGTTTGAAGTTGAGAAGTTTGTACTCGTTTTCGACTAATAATTTTTTACATTGTTTAATTCACTGTGAATAGTTTTCCACTGCCTCCCAAAAAGAAAGCTTACCGGTTGTATCATACTAATTCTACGAAGATTCAATCTGAATTTGAAATATCGGAGTTCAGGAGAATATACAGAGTACTGTGAATTATTGTTTTTCTAATATCATGCACTATCAGATATCTGGTTTGAAAGCCGTTCATTTACCAATATTGTTGGATCTTATCTACCAGAACTTACCTGCAGGAATTAAAATTAGTGTTGGGAAGGTATATTTTAACTTTAAAAATCCACGAATTGTGTTTTTTTCCCTTGTAGACAGATAAAACATTGGATGAAGATCGTTTTGTTCCTCAGTTGGAAAGAGAAGCATTAGAGAAAGAGTTGTCAAAGCTCAAAGTCTAACAATTTCAGTCTTGTTGTACAAAAATACAATTACTAAAGCTTGAGTCGATTGTTTTAAATTGTTTTTGGGAAATTACATTTCGTTGATTTAGAAATCAGGGGTTTCCTTTAGTGAAGTTTTGATGGTATTCAAGCTTGTTTAGCGTTTGAGAGAACCATTTACCAAGTATTTCTAGATTTTACTATGATTTTGAAATAATTGTTAGTTGGCTTTTTGATATGTTATTGCATTAAATGCCATTGAACTCTTGAAAGCTCTTCTTTAAGGTCACAAAGTTCAATGATAAGTAGGATTGTAATTTCTCACCCGTGGATTGAATCATTTTATAAGTGAAGCACTGTGCAGTGATGTTTAATTTGTTATCTAGGAATATTTTAGAACATTAAAGAAATTACTTAAACGACCATAGCATAATAAGCTAAAATTAGTGAATAAGGGACACTTTTCCAAAAAAGACAGTCAGTCACGTGTTGACTGGACTTAAATAGCAACGCAGAACAAGATCAAACCACCATCCTCTGAAGAAGCACAGAAGCAAGTCGTGGATTGGTAGGTGGTTAAACTACTATGGACGAAAAAGTAAAGGAGATAGAATAGTCATGTGCAGACTAATGACAAATTTCAGAAACTGAGGTCTTAAGGACTGAGTACGTTTACACCACAGAGAAATATTTTCAAACATATCATAAATAGTCGCTAAACGTTAGTTTTTAGCAACTCGAGGCAGTCTACATCCGCCTATGTGGCTCAAACCAACAGTCAAATACTTCATGGATTGGTGACATTTGACCATCCTAATTCTTTTCCAATGTGAGCTAGCACTGCTCATCAAAGGTGGCTTGTCATACGTAACACATTCCAGCCGTCTCAGTTAATTGGGATATAACTCCTCACCGATTGTCTTTCTCTCCCAAACTAACACTACACGCCTAAACTCACTACTGCTGACCATATCGTTCCATCTAGCACGAAATCATTTACCCCTTCATGTATTCCACTTAGAACGGCCAATGTTTCAAATGTGTGAAGTGGGAAGGAACAAACTTCTTCATAGCACGTGTGTCTGAAGATGGGTACCAGGATACCACTCTAGTGCGGAAGTTATCGACTCTCTTGTTCTACTTCGTTTTAGATTTGGGACAGCTTATGCAACTTCGGCTACAGTCGGATGACCGAAGTCGATGGACGACTCCTGCAGTTCGGCTGTTGACCAGTGAAGCCGCTTCTGAAAATTATCTAAAACATGTTACATCTTTTCCTGCGAGGTTATTGAGCTTCCGTCCTTAGTATCATTTCACGTTTTCTGCAGTCCGTTTCTGTAATGCAACTAGATGGTTGACGTGTATTAGTTATTGGCGGTGTCTTCCAGGCTGTTGTGAAGACGTATTCAGCTCAAATTTGATCAGGTTTTACCTTTTTCTGAACTTACTTCAATTAGCCTCCTTCCGTCTATCTGTTTAAATGATACCCCAGAAATATATACACTTACTAACTTTCTAGTGCAGTTTATCAACAGCCCTCACCACTGTTTCTGCGACTGATGGATATTACATTAGGTTTCATTAAGATAAGTATTGCTGACACACTCAGATAAGCGTTCGGTTATTTTATCCCTAAGAATGGACTCAAGATTTCGATTCAGAAGCTGGATGCGTAAGGGCTTTACAACCTCTTGTTTTTATGCCTGTTCACTCTTATACTTACCGGCTAATTCATGATCTAAATCCACTCAGGTGTTCCGGAAGGAGCAAACCCTAGCCGTCTGTACCTTGCATCTCGGTTAACTCCCCTTGTCCATCTTCGGCTTGATATCGGTGGTCACCAGGTTAGACTATGCCTTTCTTATGTTTGAAAAATGTTCTGTATGGGCTTAGTTGATCACTTGAACAGAATGATTGTAGATAATCACCGTTGTCTCTTCGGTGGTATGGGATTCTGCGGGAATGTCGATTATGCTTTTTACGCTTGCTCAGCTTCCCTACTTGAGCAACATAATCACCTATTAAGGTGACCATATCTGAGCTTATCACTTTTAGCATCAAACTAGACAGATTCTAATGAGATCCATTCTTGATTTTGGTTAAAAGTGGTCACTTAGCTCATAAGTGGATATTACAAAACAGTGTTAATCACTATCACATTCTGGTTTCTATGTTCAAACCAGTCAGTCAGTCTTTATCCTTACAAATCTTCTCAGCTTGACACTACACAAACATCTGTTCAAGGGAATCGAAAATGGAGTTTTGTGCTGTCGACTTCGACGCTATCTCTCCATAAGCAAGTCCATAAGAACTAAACTAAACTATTTTGACACCCGTAGAGTATTTTTTCGGAATTCACTATATTGGCCAGATAAAATCGACTGAATAAACGCTCTTGATTTTTGGATACATATCTCCAATTCAGCGTATGCATTGTAAGCTTGAGGTTCGAGGCAGTTGGCGACTGGGGCCTGTTGTCCGACTGGACATAAATTTCAGCCACTGAAAGTTCCAAGAGCGTGATTTTTACAGATTAGGGCAGTATTTTTCCAGCTCTGTTATCCAATAATCGTTACACAGTAAATAGGAGGTGACGAGACTGCCTGTAGAAGATTACTAATGAGATGAAAGTAAGAAAACAAACGGGAAATTTCGTATGGTCGGTTGCTTCTTCCAGCAGCCCCAGCTACTGCAGTTAATTTATTCTCGGAATAATTGAAGGAATTAAAGCATTAGCGTTTTAAAACCACAGAGCTCAGCAGACAGTTGCTTGAAGCCAACCATACATGGTACGTACCGTAGTGGTGGCTTTTTGAGTTTCTTCCGTGCATAAGAGCTTATCTCCGGTTACAGACCGTGATGGGTTAATTCAGGGTATACAGTTCTCGGCCTCAACCTTTTCTATCCACTCAAGAAAGCCGGATAAGGAATTGCCGATAGTAAACATCTTACTGTTGCTATACTCCTATCTGTCATCGGCTTGTCTCCTGGAGTGATCTCTTTGATCAACAGAGGAAAGCATGACTTTGTTTTGAGAAATTAATTTCTACTTCAACCTCTTTCAGGGGTTTAATCTTAAATCTTGTTATGTCGTTCTGTCAGGCAGCTAGTTGACATATATTAGTTGGTAGCTATTCTTACCTCAAATGGTGGACCTTTTCATATATATCTCTGACTACTTGCTCAGTGTCTTAGATTCATTATTTATTTCTTCATATGATATTCATCTTCCAATTCCACTGTCTTCTAAAACTAAATGGTACTTAAATGCCTATATTAAACTATCGTCTGGTGCTCAAATTATTCTTTTCATTCCTTTGCGTCCTTAGTGGAACACATGACTTCAGCTTTGAAGTTTTTTAGGAGTTTTGTTGTTCATTTTTATGGGATGAAGTCGCTAGCCTCATACCCAACCATCCCTATTTACCAGGAGAGGTTTAGGAGTACGTCGTTCGGGAGATCGAAACGCGGACCGCGTGTATGGTTGGTGAGTATTCTACCAATGGATCACCCACACCTCTGATCAAGTAATTCCACTCACACCACTTCATATCATTTACGTAAATCTAATCTCTTTGTGGGCAGTGTTGATTAACGCCAAAAATCCTTCCGATTAATCTTTACAAGGAGAAAAGGCATGATAAAAAAGTGTTTCTGTGCTACTTAACTTGTGTTGTTATACAGCACGACATTTTCATGAAATAAATCGTAATTAAATAAGTGCTGATGTAACAACAGAAGACAAGGGCCAGGAAACAGATCGTTTATTAAGGAAATCAACGCATATTTATGTATTTTCATGTACATTATTATAGATTATTCAAGCAAACAAACGCAGTGTTCTGATTGGTTGTTTCTCACAGAAAGTTAACCTTGCATCTCTTTGTGACTGTTTCTTGAATGTCAGATCATCTATCAGCTAATTGTATCCGCCTACGCAAAATCTGCTGTGGTTGGTTGTTGAATCAGTCCTTGTTCATATTTTTCTCACGACCAATATTGGGGACATAAACATTGACGTAAAATACTGTCTAACAATTTTGGCTAGTAGGCAGCTCTCACCACATTGGTACTACTTCTGATTCGATATATATAAATGCAGTTGTATTAGCAAAGACATCGGAAGTGTTGGGAGTAGATCTTCTATTTGCTTTTCTTAGCTTATTGGCAGAATCCTGCTCTTAAAGAAGAGGAAATGTCCTCGTGAGTACTGGACAATTTATTGTCTCTAAGTCTTCTAAAGTATTAAATGTGTGTAGAAAGGAGATTATTCACTATCCGTTGCAGTAAAAGGTTTTAAGACAAACTTACAAATCATAAAAGTTGTATGAGATCTTTGTCACTGCATTCTGATATTAACTGCACTTATCAAGACCATTCATTTAGGTAATCTCAGCTCACTGAGATAGTTTCAGTCCTTCAAAACACGATTTCTCAAGCTGTTACGTAAACTCTCACCTCTCTCCTGCTTTGAGTTCCTTGAACTTTCTATTTCATAATGCGTATTAATTAACGAATTGAGCTAAAAAAGTGTGTGGTCACATATTACAAACACTCCAGGTTTTGAATTCCCTAATTTACAACATTCAGTACTATTATTTTAACACTGAAAGTATGTTGTTTCCACTCCAGTATAGCTATGGTGATTTATGACAGTTTTTGTTTAGTGAGATATTGTCTAATAAGATGATATCATCTTACAGTGCAAGTTTGGCTCATATTGCCTTATCACTTGTAAGGATTTCAATGGCATTAATTCTTATGGTTTAATCTGTAATTAATGCACAAATCTACTCTACCCATTGAGTGAGTAAATGGTATCAAAATTTCCAACGATTTTAGTTAAAAATCTTATCTAATCTAATCTCGCCTTTTAAAATACGTTTTTTGATGTTAGGTAAATGAAATGGAAGTCTAGACATTTATTAGTTCCATTACGGAACAAAGAATATTGTTTTCAATAACCTCTTCTTCTTCTTCTTCAGATTCCACAGTTATATATCCGTAATGATGAAAAAATGACTGTCATTGACAACATTAGTGGTTTTTGAAGAGTAATATAGAATCACTTCGATCAGAAATGGGTGAGAAACTTGGCCGACGCATCACGAAAAACATTTCCAACAAGTTACAGGATTTTATCAACAGCTGCCTTCTCTCGCTCCATAGTTAAGATAAGACGGCCGGCCGGAAGGAATTAGCAACAAGAAACTCTGGCTGAGAATAAACCAACCAAGAGCCAATCGCTCAGCAAATATGTAGGAGAAAATGTAGATGGATCGGGCATATATTGAGGAGACTGTCGAATGACATTGCTCGGGTTGATCTCAGTGGGAAGCAGCGAGTGTGTCG